CAGAAGTCAATACTGGGCCTGGGCCAGAACTCAACAAAAAATTAGCTGCCGGTTCTGCCGAACTGGTGCGAACCAGCTGAATCCCACCACTGTTCAAACTCCTTTGTTTCTTACATCTAACCAGATTATTCAAAACTTCAAAAAATGGCCCTAAAATTTGCTTCCCAATGAGCTATTTTTCTCTTCTGTAAGGAAAAAAAATGTTTTTTATCATTCTTTGCTTTAAACTATACATTTTTAACTTCAGGATATAGTTTGACTTTCCCTTTGGCTTCTGTTTCATCCCACAGCTTGGCCAGTCTGTTTACTTGCCATTCTCTTCTTCCTAGTTGCATCTTTCCTTAACTCACTGTGAATCTCTTGATTTACTCCAGTCTCCTTCTCCTTTTCCTCCGTTTTTGGGCCTTTGTGGACATGCCAGGAGCCATTGTTCCCATACCGCTGGACAAATGCTGTCTTTCCTCTTGCATTTTATAAAAAATCTGATTGTAGTTTGAGGGAGCAGGGAAACTGATTCACGATTCCTTTTTGGCATTTTTGATTTTTCTTGTAAAGGAATCTATATAAATAAAAATGTAAATATTTGTTTGTTCAAAATCTTAAATCTCCGAAAGTTCTTCACCGATTGCTTTGAAATTTTGACACAACGTTGAATTCGAATATGCGCGTGTTTTTATATACCTACTATTATATAGATGTCACACCTGTGACAGGTAAAAACTCTTTTCTTTCTTCCATTTAACCAGACTGAGCCACAGCAACGCGTGGCCGGGTACAGCTAGTAATAAATATGAATTTAATGTGTACATAAAGAAATACATCTTTAACAAGAACCTAATAGCTGTATTGTGATTCCTAGGATTATTTCTTTTTGTGCAGTTGTATTTATGGGTATTCCAGTGTTGTACAATGCTAGAAGTGGTATTGAAACACCTTTTGAAGCTCTGCCATGTGGCTCTAATGCCAACAGCAGGTGAATTGCACAGGTGATACACACTTGCATTCATTACATAAATTCTGAACTTATCACCTCCATAGTTCCTTTGAAGTTTTTTGTCTGTTTTTTATATTGCTGGTTGGAATCAGTGGTACATGATAATGGAATTGATCTAAATTTCTCTTTTTCTGGTTACAGAAGGAAATTGAACTTAGTTGTAGCTCATTGCCAGAATAAATTGGCAAGGTTTCCAAGACAGTAACCTTGATAACGTACTTGCCCATAAGTGCTTGTCATATCTTTTTGTTATATGGGGGGGTGGGGCGGAGGGGAGAGCAACCATGACCCTTCAGGTATTTCTAAATTCCAGCTCAGTTGCCCCTCCAGTCAGCATGCCAATGGTAAGACGTGCTGAGAGTTGTAGTGTTGCACAACCTTCCCACCTCTGCTTTACTGAGATCAATAGTCTTAGCAATCATCAACCCATTGCTTGCTTTTTCATTTCAGGGAGGAGCCATTGCCATCCTCACCGCGTGTGAAAGACCAAATGACTTTTCAGGCATGGTATTAATTTCTCCTTTAGTAGTTGCAAGCCCTGATGTAGCGACACCGATCAAGGTAAAAACAAACAAACAGGTGTTCATTTCATTCCAGGCACGCTATCTAAATATATCGGCTAAACATCTTACTATCTTGAGATAATATCCCTTTCTTTCACCAGCCAAAACTCTCCATGTGGGGCAAAGCACTATTTTCTTTTTTTTAAAATACATGAATTTAAGACTCTTTCTAAAATTGAGTGTAAGAAGGCTGTGGTCAGTGCTAAAGCTGAAGGATTAAATACATAATATAATAAATGAAGATGCCCTTTTCCTCACAAAAAGCAGAATTGCAATTTAGAGCAAGAACCTTGCACTAACCTTTTCCATTTCCTGTAGATTTATTTTGACAAATCTCTCTTCTGAAGCTGCTTTTGTTCCCTCAGTTTCCAGATGCATGATCTCTGGCTAAGTTCCCATGCTATGCTACGCCTTAATGCAGTTTGCTTAGCCTGGCGTGTGAACTCTTTGTGGTTTGTAAACCATGGTGTTTGACGGATGAAGCCCTGTGACATGTTCAGAAGGCATAGTTAAAACAATTCATAACCTAGCACAGAGTGTGCAGCTTTCTTTGGGCAGAAAGCCACTCTTACGCTTTGAGTATCCCTAGGGCGGCACTCCAACATGCAATTGGTCGGACCAAGACAAAAAATTATTTCCACAGTTGAATGCAGTTAATAGGATTGCTCTCCTCTCCTGTATTTAATCAACTTCCCCTTTCAGTCATATTAAAAATGCAATCTGGTAACAATTTCTGGAGGTCTCTTAGAACTATAGAGACCTCAGCTTCTGTACCAACCTCTATTGGGTTGACTAGAGTGATGGATATGGGGATATTTTGGTGGGGGTTTCAAATTTTTTTAGCTTCACTTCGATAGACAGTTCTAAAAATAATTATTTTAAGCAGGTGATGCTGATTTATTAAGTGTGGGAAGGAAAAAGTAACAACCAACCTCACAGCTAGTCAGCTGGTATCAATTAATAGTATGGATTCATTCATGGAGCTTAATCTCAGTCTACAGTCATTTTTTATTGTGGAGAAATTTCCTCCCTTGATAGTTTCTGAATGTATGTATGTCCCATACCATATACTATCACCTTACCTGATATTGTGCAATATGATGAATCAGAGCAACTAAGCAGACCTGACAAGAGTATTGTATATAGGTAGTCCTTAACTTACGGTCACAATTGAGCCCAAAATTTATGTTGCTAAGTGAGAAAGTTATTGAGTTTTGCCCTGTTGTATGACCTTTCTTGCCATATTTGTTAAGTGAATCACTGCATTTCTTAAATTAGTAACACGGTTGTTAAGTGAGTGTGGTTTCCCCATTGACTTTGCTTGTCAGAAAGTCGCAAAAGGGGAGCACGTGACTCTGCAGCACTGCAACCGTCATAAATGTAAGTCAATTGTCAAGCATCCAAATGTAAATCACATGACCCTGGGGATGCTGCAATGGCCATAAGTGTGAAAAATGGTCATAAGTCCCTTTTTTCACTGCCGTTGTGACTTCAAATGGTCACTAAATGAACTGTTGTAGGTTGAGGACTACCTGTATTCCATTTCCATCTCCCTAGATCTTTATTTATTAAACCATGTGTTGCAAAAACTTGTAAAACTCTTTTTGGTCAATGATTCTCATTACAGCTCTCTTTTGTCAGCAACTCTTTAAACTAGCTAAGTTTTTCCCTGGGCTCATGAAGAACCTTCTTTAAAGGGCTGCTGAAAGGAGCTACATTTTCACTCCTACCTGCTCCTAATCTGGATTGTTGCCCCTTAAATGATGTAGATAGCAACTACAGCGATAACAACAGCAACAACCTGGATGTACAGCCACATAGTCTAGTCTTTACCAAGCTTTAATGAAAACTTCTTGCTTAGGAGAGGTTTGGATGAATGCAATTCAAAGCAAATGTAAGACAACTGTTGAGTAATAACTACTATAACTACTTACAATTAGAGCATTAAATTAGCTCCTGATCTTGCTTATTCCAGAGGTATCTAAGAAAGGAAGGCTGATGGGACTGAGGATTAGCAATATCTTTATCTCATAGATATGATTGGCTAAGTTTTTAAAAGCTGAATATTACAGAGTCTGTTTTTCAAACATTCCATTAATAAGCTATTTTTGTGAGGAGGGCATCTCTCCCATATGGATAATTGTCATTAATTTGTGAGGTATTAATTCAATAACGCATTCTTTCAATTAGCCTGATTCCTAATATGTTTGGGTAGGCTATATTAACAATCATAGGCTAAGAATTAAACTGTTTATATTCTGAAAAATTCAAAAATTAATAGACAATATTTGTACATGGAAAAATCAGTTTAATAGACCGTTAGGTAGGAGGGCATGTCCATTAAGCCTGAATGTCCATTAAATCCAAATTTATGTAATTATGCCAATTATATAATTTATCATTTGTGTCAGATCATGTCATTGGGCTTACCATATGATGATGTAAATTCACACAAATTATGCTAATTTACCTAAATCCTCTGCACTACTTCAGGTAAAAGTTCTGTCCATTGTCTTCAAAGTCCACTAAAGTGGGGTTTGATAAAATGAAGTTTCACTGTATTAGGAACAGAACTCTTCATTAGCTTAAATATTCAGCAAAGTGGAAGAAAAAAGATTGCTGATATTAAACCAACAAAATCTAATTTGGTAAAAAGTTGGAGAGTCCTAGGGGGAGTATTAGATGCCACAGTTACACTTCACAACATAGCCCTCTCTAGACAGGGGCAACATCACTTGCGTTTCCTATAAAGGCCTCTGAAATTGTGTCAGCTTTGAAACGTTCTGTTCTGGGAGAACTTTTACTTTATTCTTTCATCATTAATACAACATATTTTTCCCACAGTCCGTAGCAATCTTTGATACAGGAGGATCAGAGAATGTTATGGATATTATTACATTTAATGGATTCATGGAAAAATCAAGGTCACAGATTTCATTTTACATTTTCCAGGAAACATTACTGCATGCAGTAATGAATGTGTCTTTAAAAATAGGCCTGGCAGAGTATTTTCTTGGCTCTTGTTGTTTTTAAGTGATGACCATTTAATTAGAAAGTAATCTACAGAAGATCAGAGATAATTTAGCATTGGGGTCAGTTATAGAATCCTATCAGTGGAATTTTTTTTTTGAAGTATTTTCTTTTCTTCTTTTGGCGTCTTCATATTTTTTTATTTAACTCCCAGAAACTAGCTGTTCAATAGATCTCTTTAGTCAATGTGTACACATTTTTCTATTTATTTGTATCCCTGCTACAGAATGTGTTTACAATGTTTAAAGAACTATACTGTAAATCACCTAAGCTACAATTTTCACTGTAGGAAACTAAAATACAAAGTGAATAGCAAAAAGAAGGAACCCTGGCAAATATCCCCGACTTCCCTTGAAGAGTGAAAAAGCTGGCTTTCTCTCAACTTCTTCAGCCAGGATTCCTTCCCTTTTTTGTTGTTGTCAGGAACAAATGTAAGAGTCCTAAAGTTGGACAAAGAGGTTTTGATGCCAGTTGCATCAAGCTTTCCCTTATAAACAGTCCTGAGAATCTTTTCGGCCTCTCTGGTACATTTGGAATAAATTTGTTGGCATTCAGGAACAGATCCTCAGCTGCAATACAGTAATAATATAGTGGTTAAACTAAAAAAAAAAAAAAAAGTTTCTGCCGCCTGCAAAACTGTCTTCTATCGTTCTCTTCTTGCCATCCAAGACACTAATTATATTTTTCTCCCTCAGGTATTTGCAGCTAAAATACTTAACTTTGTCCTGCCAAACTTGTCTCTGGGATCTATTGACCCAAATGTCATTTCCCGGAATAAGAAAGAGGTGAGAATTGTATTGCCCTGAAAGTCAATGTATTGCCCTGTGATAGTTTGGCTTCTTCCCATACAGTATGAGTAGATCATAAGTGAGCAATTCCATCTTGGTACAAATCAAGGAACATATCAAGGGAATAGAACATACCTATAATACATATAAAGAGAGAATCCAGTACAGGTAGTCCTTGTCTTACAATCATAATTGAGCCTAAAATTTATGTTGCTAAGTGAGATATTTGCTCCATTTTATGACCTTCCTTAAGTGAATCACTGCAGTTATTAAATTAATAACCTGGTTGTTAAGTGAATCTGGCGTCCCCATTGAGTTTACTTATTAGAAGGTTGCAAAAAGTGATCACATGACCCTAGGACACTGCATAGATATGAACCAGTTGGTAAGCATCCAAATTTTGAACATGTGACCATGGGTTGTAAATGTGAAAAAACGCATAAGTCACTTTTTTCAGTGCCGTTGTAACAGTCATTAAACAAATGTTTGTAAGTCAAGGACTACCTGTATTATACTGAGACTGAAATGGCCTCCTCTCCAGATATTTTTATCAGCAGTCTGAAGTAGGGAAGAGAAATTACACAAAGAATTGTCTGTACTGGTTGATGGATTTGTGTCAAATCTATGAGGTACATCTGATTCCATCAGTCTGCATGACCTGCTAGCTTCCATTTATGCTAGAGATAAGTGTTTTGATGAGAATGGAGGAAAAGCTTAAAATGAATCATTGCAACACTGTTTTTGCCATCGCTGTTTTGAAGGAAGAAAAGATGTGGCGTTTAGCTTCCTGTAGAAGAATTACAATACATTTAAATGATTTAGGTCTCTATGACACCGGTGAGTATATGATTGGCAGGTGTTAATTTATATTTACATTTTAATTTATTTACCGGTCTTGTATGCTGCTGCAAGTACCAGAGTCTCAGTGGCTAACCAAGTATAAAAATATACGCAGATTTTAAAAATGCCACTTTTTCAGTAGTCATGAAGTATTCCTGTTGGCCATTTTTCTTCTATTTTTTAATTTTTTTATTCTACAGACTAGGTAAGTCCTGTTAAAGATTAATGTATGCTGATGAAATTCTGATGTTAATGTTGAAAAAAGGTATGACATCCATATAGAAACAGAATACCAGTAATGCAGTAAGAATAAAATGCTCAAACATGTTCAGTCTGTTATATTTAATATGTATGTTTAATGTGAAGGTCAAAACATTAGTTTCAGGAAGATAAATTAAAGCACCTTTTCTGGGGGATATTATCACAGATTTGATGTGGAATTAAAAAAAGGAGCAGGAGCATTCTGCCTCCCAACAAGTTAGCTGAAGGACAGAGGGATAGTAATCCATGTAGCAGAAATAAATCATCTCTGCTATATAACACGACTGTCATAAGTATCAGTATCAGGAACTCAGAAACAATGTCATGACTGCTATTTATTCTCAGGATCAGTGAGAAGTAGAGATCATTTAATAGAAATTATTATTATTACTATTATTATTATTATTATCATCATTATCATCATCAATGGGGAAAAAGTCGTGATACGTCGCACGACGTCACGTGACGTCGCAAGTTTGACATGCCTGGTCTAGACACTCTTTCAGCCCAGTCTACTTCACAGGGTGGTTATTAGGAAGAGGGAGTTGTGTCCATCAGCTGGTGCTCCTGAATGAAAAGCAGAAGATTGACTGATTGATCAATCAATAGATTAAATAATATGACTCATGCGGCCTTTACATGTCACATCTGGTGGAAGAATGTCAGTTGTCAGTTTTGTGTTATGATGCACCTTTTCTCACCAGTTCCCCTTTGTTTTTCTCCTGAGGACATCTTTATATTACCAGCCTCAATCCCTTAAGAATATTAGGGAAGTTGTCCAATGAGCCTAATGACACTGCCTTTATATAAGGCCTAGCTGTATATTTTTCTACATCATTATCAAAATTTAAACTGCCATGCCAAAATGCCCAAGAAATTATATATGCAGTCAAAGCTGAATGATGTAATAAAATGGGTTTTGGATGTATCTTTTAAGCAGATTAGTAAATAAACTACTGTATTAGTAGCCATTCACCTTGAAATACCCTCCTACTATACAGAGCAGCTTTTGAGACACTTAAGAACCTAAAGTCTGACTGTGTTATTTTATCTGCTACTTTTAGTTTTCTTCTAAAAAGCAATATGTAAAAGATCTGCAGTTTGACAGAAATAAGTCTCCAGCTTCCTAATATCACCCACATTCAACATTGCAGAATACAAGTTCAGATTGTGCTGGGAACAGCCACTATTTACATGTTGAATACATTCATCAAGCAGACCAATTTGTAGTCTCTATAAATATCATTGGGATAGTCTCCAAGAATTTCCTGATTTGTTTGTGTTCATAGCAGTTTGGTTTCTAAAGCAGAAACTGAAATGTAGAAGGATTTGAGACATTTTAAGGTTTTTTTCCCCTTCTGGTTAGTTAAATCAGATGCATACTTCTGAATCTCAATTCTTTGTTATGTGCTGGAGAAGTGTTCCCCAAACTGGTGCCCTCCAGAATTCTTAAACTACCACTAATGAGATTCAAATGAGATGGAACTCCTTAGGGTGAAACATCAGGGAGACATTAGCCCCTCCCACCCCCACCAAAAAGGCCATAGATAAGATGAGATGATAAGATAGCATTGCTGTAAGACACCATTATTTTTGGTCTTGCCTACCTTAGGGAGAGAACTCCTTTATTATAGTTTCAGTTGTAAACTGAAGATTGTGATCATATTTCTATTTGAATAAAGATACATACAGATGGTTAAATGGACTTGCATTGTGACTATAGTACAGATGGACATTCTGAATCAAGCCTTCTTCCCCACACTGATGGCCTCTTCCTAGATGGAAAAATACCTGAAAAACTTCATTAGTATACCAAATTTGAAGATGGGGAGCAGTCAAAATATAATTCCTAAACTGTGAATATAAGGTGGAATAATTTAAGACATTATACTTGGCTTTTTATATTACAGTAACCAATATTATTATATCCAAGATTTAATCCAGTCACAAGATGATATAGAATAGGCACCATGTGTATAACAACTACAGGGAACAGCTAAGATGGTACTTTAAGAAGTTTCATTTGTTTAAAGAGCATATACTGTAGATCTATCAGACAATTAAATATTATTATTAATAAATTCATGTGTATATTTCTACAAGCAATATTATAAAAATCCTGTAATACCAAATAATGCCCAGTACAATTGGAAATAAACTCTTTCAAAAATTAGTCATGACACCAAAGGTTATCAAAATCATGGTAAAGACAAGACCTCTTGATCTTCATTTGGTCTCACATGCAATAAATAAAAAATAATATATCATCCTCTGTTTATTTAATTTATATATAGCATCTCACATATGTACCTCTGGGTGGCTCACAAAATTAAAAAAAATGAGCAGCAAAAAAAAGTAAGAAAAAGTAAAAAAAAACAAATCAAAGCAATTAAAAACAATTAAATGTAAAATATGGGAGATTATCAATCAACAGTTAATATAATCATTTCACCTGTCCATACCTCCATGGGTTTGCCATGCAGATACAGAGTTACTGTATCTGCTACATTAGCAGTTTTAAATTCAAGACAACTCTCATAATCTACATCAGTGAAGTCCAAAGGACACAACTGATTTTGACTTGTGGGGCAAATATGGTCTGATGTTACTGAGTATCAGACTGAAAAAGCTTTATTAGCTCTAAGGTGATAATACGACCTAAAAAGGATCTTAGAAATCTCCAAAACAAAATCTAAAAGTATTCTTTGAAAAGAAAATAATAAAATGTACAGAATAATAATAATAATAATAATAATAATAATAATAATAATAATAATAATAATAATAATAATAATAATAATAATAATAAAGTTGGAAGGGACCTTGGAGGTCATCTAGTCCAACCCCCTGCTCAGGCAGGAAACCCTATACCATTTTGGACAAATGGCTGTCCAGTTTCTTCTTAAAAACTTCCAGTGTTGGCGCATTCAC